TATGTTGGATTCAATTGTGATGGATATAATCCCTCACTAGTTTCAATATACGTGTAACATTAACGGTCTCTGCTGTATTTAGCCAATCAATATCGTAAAATTTTATCATGTGAAAAATATCACATGTTGATTAACCAATAAAATCGTAAATTTTTAAAGTTAAAAAGAACAATATTTAATTAAAATAACTGCTATTGTTAAGTAAGCAAGCATGTATTTATTAATTTTTTTCAATAGTATTTATTTACAAAACCTCAATAATCTATATGCTTAATTTTCTGTCTAATTTTATGTCTAAATCTATGTCTAATTCTATATTTACTCAAATTTCTAATATCTTACACTATACTATATATCGTATATATTGAATATTATTCTAATAAGAAACCTTTGCAATTTTAATACACATCATGCATTTATACAGTATAACCTTCATATCATTTCTTAAACGCTCCTATAGTGATGATATTAATATATTTTAATTTTCAAAAGAATTTCTATGCAAATACATATAATAAAATATATATAAAAACTAATTTCTTTCTTTTACATTACCATAATTAAACGTTATTTTACCTTTTTTTTTGCGCAACGAACGAGATTTTGTCTTATAACTTCGACTGGCGAAAGGCAATATAAAAGTTGTTGATTAAGATTGATTAAACGAATATGTTGTAAGGCAAGGTGAGAACTTCAAGTTTCTCTAATAGTTTTCACATTTTACGGATGAGATAATCTACCCGAGCTTCCGAAAAAAGTATAAAAAAAATCCTTAATCAATTGTGTAACGATCTACAAAATCGGGGTTCTTAATAGATAAACTAACACGATAACGATCTGAGCGCGATTTTGTTTTTTCGTTTAAAATGTCCTATCCAACACTTTATAACACTGTCAAAAACAGTCGCTTTCTTTATGGTCTTTTGAAACCAGTTGCTAACTATTATGCTAGTCTTGTTGGACATAGGCAACTTGGTATGTATCTTATTATGAATTTATTGACGTTCTCGATGAACATGTGTAAAATTTTTATTTCGAATGCAATTATTAGGTTTAAGGTATGACGATCTAATGGAGGACGAAATCGATACAACTAAGGAGGCGTTAAAACGTATACCGTCCAAGGAGCAGGATCTTAGAAATTTTCGAATTAGATCAGCTTATCAGTTATCTTTACAACATCACATTTTACCAAAGGAAAAATGGACGAAGCCCGAAGAAGTAAGTTTACTATTCAATGCATTCTTATCATGTTAAAAAGTAATGAATATTTAATCACACATTTCTAATATAACTCAAGGATGTAAGGTATCTTTCACCCCATATAGATAATGTTGTAGAAGAAGAAAAAGAACGAGAAGCTTTTGATGCGATCAAAGTTGTTCGTAGATAGGGATGTGAAGTAATGCTTTAGGTTCTAATACCTTTATGCCCCAAATTAAAAACTCAAGAATCGGGTTTTTATATAAGTTTCAAGCCTAAGTTAAACCTGGTTTAGTTCAAAACCAAATTTAAAGTCTGCTTCACACTATTTTGTAAGACAAATAAAAATATATTAATGAAAAGTTATTTAATTCATATCAAACTTTTAAAATATACATATAATAATATTCTGAACAATTTACTTAATATGCTATTTATTCAATAAATTTTGACTTTTAAAAGGTGAAAGGGAAATATGGCGATGTGGGTAAAGTGACAGATCACATAATTTCAAAGGGCTATCAAATAGAATCTAATGATTATTATACCATTCAATTTGTCTCACCAGGATGAATCGAAGAATATAAAAAAAACATTCTTTTCTAATTACTGAATTACCAATAATCATATATAAAGCGAGTAGATACTTTGATTTTAAATCGATTTGTCGACCTACCAATCAATAAATTTGTTTGACACTAATAAATGTTATGTAAATGCAAGTTAATTGGCTATTAGTGCTTAAATAGAATAAATTTTCACACCACCATAATATTCCTTTGCCTTATGTAGTGATTAATAAAAATGTATAGTACGATATATAAATAATAAAAATTTAGAGTATGTCTATTTGTCATCTGAGTGCCTTTCATCTTTTACAAATCTATTATAAAATTTGTCTTGCAAAATTTTTTTGAAAAATACAGAATTATTTTGAATTAACTTTAATATAAGATGGGTTACGAGAATACGAAGTACTTTAAACTATAAAAAAAAAAAAAAAAAAAATCAAAATTTGGTTTTTTTATTAAATTAGCTATGCCACAAGTGATGATCGTTAAATTTGGTTTAATATGAAAATCTAAACGAGATCATTATTTATTTTCTGACGCGTCATTATATATCCATGAATAGTTGACCTAATAATATCGCACCCACTGTCCTTCTCAAACATTGGTTTCATCACAGTTTCAAAGATCTTTTCAACTCTAAACAAACCATTCGCCTTTGCCTTCTCAAAGAATTCCAAGTCCTTGTGTGCAAGCGATGGGCGATGATGCGTAAAAAACACGAGCACTTGCCCATTCTCAATGTCTAAACATTCTTCACACGTCTTCAATAATGCAGAATGTTGAGAGTGATTAAATATTAAATCGGATAGAATAATTAGATCATAATATGATCTTTTGGTCATAGATTGCGAATTTTGTTGTGAAGCAATTGCGTCTAGTAACGGGCCTGTATTGTTACCCCAAATGTATCCCTAACATCAATATTGAATAATAAGTATATAAAGTATGTGGAGATAATTGAATTTAAAAAATTTACCAAAACTTTAACAATATCACAGCCACCTTTTGAAGATAAATTTAACTTCATATTATATTTTATGTTTTCAATCAACTTTTCATCAGGATAATCTGTTATGACCACCTAAAAGAAAGAAATACATAATAAGACATCATAACCATGCGACTCAAATATGGGCCGCTGTCAATATAAATCAATTTGACATTTTTTAAAAAAATAAATGCCATAACTTTCATTGCTAATATCTCGATGAATTTCAAAGCTATTCACATGATTTAATGGTCAACAAAAGAAAGCTTAAGATCTAAGCTTTCTTTTGCCATTAAATCATGAGAGAATAGCTTTGAAATTCATCGATATATTAGCAATGAAAATTATGGCATTTATTTTTTTGAAAAATGTCAATCTGATTGATTTCTATTGACAACAGTCCATATAATCACCAAAATCAGGCTTATGAAAACCAACCTTTTTTGCACCATTCAAAAAAGAAATAAGTGAGGGCAGTGCACCGCCAGCTCCAAGCTCTAAAACATTTTTATTTGAAACAAGATCTTTATGTTCATCTAAATACCACGCAACGCATTTACTCGCATTCCATAGCTGATGTGCCCATAATGGATGAAAACCAACTAAACGTATATTAAAAATTTGTGGATCATTCGTATTTTCTTATATTTGCGTATAGGGACAGATGATAAGTATAACTATAAATAAATAAATTCATCAATAAATTAATAAACAACGGATACCAGATGAAATATGAGCTGCTTTACGCTCAAATTTTTCAAAAGTTGGTTTTGGTGAAGGAGGCCGAAATTCTTCGGGTTCCTTAGTATATACATATATAATTTATAAATTTTGAGTATCAAATTAATATTTAAACATATCCATGAATATTGACAATAGATAACAACCTTAAAAAGTGATAAATCATGGTCTTCTAATTCTAACGCCATTTGAACGATGTCTACTAGAATTTTAATCAAGATATATCAGTCAGTTAAGATGTCACATGTACCGGGTAATGATCTTCAAAATCAACCAATCATAATAAAGCTCGCTATTCTAGTCTTATCAGTTATATTGACTAGACAAATACTGATCTTATTTTATAAAAAATGTGAATACACAAGTTTATACAGTTATTATCATTCTGTAACAAAATTACCTTTGTATGTATAACCTTATATAAAGTTTCAAACCAAAATTTATTTCTTTGATCTAGTTATTATAGACATAAATTTTAATTTTTTTTTTTTAACCTTTGGTAGTCATGATGGTCAACCAGTCAGAAGTTTATTTATAAATGTTTAGTACAGACAATATACAAAAGAACTATATCTAACTCCATATATCATCATCACATGGTTACCCCAATTGGCATCTACAAGTGACCTGTTATACCAGATTTGCTAAAGTTTGAATTGAGCTTATCTGTCTACTGTCCTACAATTGAACAGCATCAATTTGATATTATTTGTTCATAAGAAGATAAAAAATCAAAAAAAAATTTTTCTTGTTAAGAAGAAATGCATTAAAAAAAAAATATGTATAGGAAAGAAATATAAAAAAAAAACAAATATTAAGAAATAAAAAAGAAAAAAATTACTAATAAAGGTCAGACAAACGATTATTAATTATAAAGACTATATCAGCTTACTAAAAATTATATGTTACTAAATATAGTAATCTCTACTTTAACTCTATCTAATAAACATATTTAATACTAAAGCTTATGTTTTAAAGAAAATAATTTAATCAAAACTAAACTAGCAGAAAATTTTCTATATACCAGATGTTTTGATTTCTTATCACTGGATCCATCTTTATGTATAATTTTTTATATTTTTTATCAGACCTTACATTTCAATACTTATCACATTTTTGATCAATTATCTTATTTTTTGCTAAAAATTTTTAATCTCATTTTATTGTTGTGTTTTTCCAAGACATATATACTTATGTTTTATCTGCAACATAAGCTCTTTTCAAATAGAACTGATAAACAATCCTGATTTGAAAGAATCAACAATGCTAATTTTGATAGAGATAAGCTAAATTATCCACTTTTCGATAAAAATTTTTTAGAAAAAAATAGAAAAAGAATTTTTTAGAATACTAACTATAATGAGTATAGGAGTTTATATTATACAGAATAGCATATTCAACTAGGCTTCTATTTTTGTTACTGTTCAGATATAGCTTGACAAAAACTTCTTTGGTTGTAGCCAAAGTTACTTTTTCAATAACTTCATAAACTTCTACTAGAGGTCAAACTCACAAGAAGTTGCAATCTGAAACTTTTAAATCCAAATAATATATGATAAAATTTTGTTGTATATAAATATAATAATTATATAATTTTTGTAGATTGGTATATATGAAAAAATTAGTGCAAAGAATTATTGAGAAGAGTTAATAAATTTAATTAAAATTTACTAATTCTAGTTTTAATTTTATATAAATTTATATTAAACTTTATAATTTAAATAATTTAAAATATATTTATTAAATAAGATGTAATAACTTAGTAAAGTTGATAAGTTGTTAACCTTTCAAATAGTGGATTGTAAGTTCAAAACCTATTAATAGCAAAAAAATTTATATATTTATTTGTATTATATTAATTGTTTCTAATAATCAAATTAAAATATTTGTAATTATAATTATACTAGCATGATTAGCAGATTATAAAGCCTTTGTGTAACTAATTATACAGAGAAATACAAACTGATATTTGGTGATACAAATTTTAGATAAGTTCTTATAATTATATAAATTTATAAAAACTAAAAAACAAAAAACCTATTTGAAAAAATCTAAGCAAAGAAGTAATACAAATCTTTAATAATATTACTATAAAGACTAAACTCAAGAAATAGATATCAATGTGAAAAAACTGTATAGATAAGAATCTTAACTAAGAACTATTATCAATCAAGTTGTCAAAATTAGATTAAATAAAAAAGATTTAATATATTAAAAAATAAATCATAATTTTATCAAATTATTTGGATTAGAAATTTAAAAACAAAACAGAAGTATATTAAAGTATTAAGAATATGTTGTAAAGTAATACTGAAATCTAAATAAATTATATAAGAATATAACAATTTAATAATTAATTCTAATTATAAGTATTAGTTTAGCTATAATAATATTAAATCAATTATAAAATAGATATATAAAAAGCTCTAAAAAATTTATTTCAAAAATAAATTAGTTTTAAAATTAAAATAAAAATCTAGAATAACTTAGTAAAGTTAATACAAGATAGGTTCAGAGTATTTAAAATAAAACATTTAAGCAGAAATATTAAGTATAATAATTAGTAAAAAATTTTGAAATAAATTTTTTAAATAAGTAATACAAAAAAGTTATATATATAACTAATTGTATACTCTTTTTTTAATAGTTTAATATAAAACTAATTATTTAAAAATATTAATAAAATCAAAATTTAAAATATTATCTTAATACACAATATATATATATATATATTTACTAAATAATTTAATAAAATTTTTAATAAAATTTATTTATTATTATTTATTATTAAAATTTTTAAATAAATTTTATATTAATATATAATATTTAATTATTATATATCAATTAAAAATAATTAATAAAGAGTGTAGTAACTTAGTAAAATGAATA